CCCCAAAACCCCAAAACCCCAAAACCCCAAAACCCCAAGAGAACTAAATCATTTGAAAATTAAGATGGATACGGAAAACCAATTAAACCAAATCCCAGAAGAGTAAGTTTGCCATCCCAAGAATTGCATGTAATGTCTCTTATAGGTTGAAGGAGCAGCATAACAAGATTAGTGATGAATTAGACGGTCTTCATAAAGAATCTGATGATTTCAACACAATCACAAGGAAGCTCAACGACCCATATGAAACCAATTTGGGATCGACTGTAAGATTTTCTAAAAATCATTTTTTACCTCCTAACTCTAGGCAGCATCAGTGAAAAATAATGAAGAAAATCTTGAAGGACTAGTTCAGACTCATAAAGAGGTCGAAACCACACTTAGAGACAAAACAAGAGAACTTTTCAACCAAGACCTTGAAATTGAGGATAAAAATAGAGAGCTCCAGAAGCATGACAAAGACCATCACGACACAGTGCAGTATAAAGAAGAGATCTATTCTAAATATCACAACAACCAAGAAAGAGCCCTCAAAGGTATTCTTTACTTCGGTGAAAGTTTAGATCTCAAGATCCAATATGAAGGAATCGATCAATTCATTAAAGAATATACAAGGTATGAAGAGTGGTTATACTCTCACTAAGATATCTGCAGCTCTTTATCTGCTTACTAATAGTTGAGAAGGATGCTGTTGCTGCTATTATTCTTCGGTTTTCGTTAGAACTCCTATATAGGCTCAACAAGGACACAGAGAATCTCGAAGAATTAGTTAAAGTAAGATATATCGTTACCAAGTAGCACCTCGGGTTCGATAAAACAGAAGAACTTCTTGCCGAGAAATCAAAGGCACCCTATGATGAACTCAAACTTAAAGAGAATCTTAGAGAAATTGCTGAGCTAAGACAACAGATAGATCTAGTCTTCAAGGCTGATGATGGAGGCTCCCTCTCCTCAATCAAGACCAGATTAATCGAAGCTAGAGGTAAAATTTATAGTTTATCTTGTAGCCAAGGAAAATGAACTACAATCAAAATTCGAAATATACTCAAACTACAAAATCCTCAACACAGAAATCAAAGAAGATGTAGAGGCCAAGCAGGAAGAGCTCAGAATCCAACAGAAGGAAGAGCAAGCCTTGAGGCAGCAAAATGAAGAGCTTGAGAGATTACTCCAGCAGAAAAAGCAAGAATCTCAGTCCCTCCTTGACAATATTAAGCTTGCAGAGCAATTGGTTGATGCCCATAGTGGATAGGAAATTCAATTAACACAATCAATAATGGGGTTTTGGGGTTTTGGGGTTTTGGGGTTTTGGGGTTTTGGGGTTTTGGGGTTTTGGG